CAAAAGCAAACCCAAACTATTTGTTACAACAAACTCACATTTTGTAAATGGTTATTACAAAGAAATAAAGACATTAGTGTCATCATTTTTTGCTTGGGGAAGGGGCCCCTTTTCCCGCCAAGGCGCTGTGTGGCCAAGCAGGCCAGGAGAATGTCAGAGGAAAGTGTTCCAGGTGGAGGGAACAGCAGACACAAGAGGAAGCACGTGGAATGGTCCAGAAACACTGGGAGACCGATGATGCTGCAGCAGAGTGGACATGGAGGGGCAGGTAGAGTTGAAGGGAGAGCTGATGATGGGACAGATGTGGGCTAGAGAAATGGGGACTGACCAGAGGCTCCAGGGTCCCCACTTGAGTAAGGGGAGACAGAGCTGCTGATGCTGAGCGGAGGCTGCCAAGACGAGCAGCCAGCCTGTGAGGGGGAGTTTAGGTGAATTTATTCACTTCTGGATGTGCCACTCAGAGATGCCCATTGGACATCCAGGCGAGATGGTGAGTTTGCCTCTGGATGTGTGAGTCCAGGCTCGGGAGGCTCTCGGGGCCGGAGGGAGCAGCTGGGAGCTGCCAGCAGGTGAGTGGACCCAGAGCAGGTGTAGGGAGCATGGGTGGGGAACGTGTGTGAATGCGAAGAGCAGAGAGGTGATGCACCCCACACAGCCCAACAATGAGAGGCCAGAGCCAAGAAGGAGCAGCCACTGAGTGGGAGGAAGGCCTGGCATGGAAAGTGCCCAGGAAGCCAGCTGGAATAATCCAGAGATTTGGGGGGGAAGGGTCAGCTGGGTCAAAGGACGGCTGAGACAGGACCATTGTGTTTGGTGATGAGGAGATGGGAGGTAGCCTGGACTCAAGCTATGTGTGCAGGGGTTGGGGGGATCTGCTTGAAGGGGCTTAAACTGAGGAGCAGAGATATCAGAGTCTAGGATTTCAGGAGCTGTAGAGACTTGGAGTCCAGAGGCCTTAAAAGTTTGTTTGCAAGACCGGGAACGGTGGCTTAAGCCTGTAATCCCAGCACTTTGCGAGGTCGAGGTGAAAGGATTGCGTGAGCCCAGGGGTTCAAGACCAGCCTGGGCAACTTAGTTAGACCTCGTCTCTACAATAAATCAAAAAATTAGCTGGGCGTGGTGACGCAGGCCTGTAGTTCCAGTTACTTGGAAGGCTGAGATGGAAGGATCGCCTGAGCCCAGCAGGTCAAGGTTGCGGTGGCCATGAGCATGCCATTGCATTCCAACCTGGGAGACAGAGTGAGACTACAACTCAAAAAAAGAGAAAAGCTTATGTGCTTTTTGAGTCGGAGTCTCAGTTTGTCACCCAAGCTGGAGTGCAGTGGCACGTTTATGGCCACTACGGCTTCGATCTGCTGGACTCAGGCAATCTTTCTGCCTTAGCTTTCCAAGTAGCTGGAATTACAGGTGTGCGCCACCGTGCCCAATCAATTTTCTTATTTATTGTAGAGATGAGCCCAGTTTCCCAGGCTGGTCTCCAACCCCTGGGCTCAGGAATCCTCTTGCCTGTGCTTCCCAAAGTGTTGAGATTATAGGCATGACCACTGTGCCTGACCAAAAGTCTTTTTTTTTTGAGTTGGAGTCTCACTCGGTCGCCTAGACTGGAGTGTAGTGGCTGCTCCCAGCCACCGCAGCCTCACCTGCTGGGCTCCAGCGATCCTTCCGCCTCAGCCTTCCGAGTAGCCGGAAT